TTTTTTTTTTTTTTTTTTTTTTTTTTTTTTTTACTTTATATCATACAAAAAAGTTGGTTGAATGAATATTTTTGTGTTCGTATTTACATATTTGAATGTGTTTGCTGATGAACAGTTGTACAGCGGTCAGTTGAAAATCATGCTTTTCATCTTGTGATATGTAAGGGGGGAACGACAACTTTACATGGCTTATTTAAATCGTTTAAAAATGTTATACTTTTTTAGACGCATATGGTGTTAATTAGTTTTAAAGTGCTTTTTTTTTTTCTGTTCACATGTAAATAATCATTTTTAGCTTTTAGTTTTGTAGAAGAACCATGCTCGGCTACTTTATTTACTAAAAAAAAGAAAGAAAAGGAAGCAAAAGTTGTTCTTTGATACTTTATTAGCATAAATTTTGTTACTATTTAGTTTATTTTTTGGGTGCATTTTTATTTCCTTACGGCTCATTGTTTCTTTATTTATTTACTTATTTTTATTTTGCTTTGACTATGTAGTTTTGTGCATTTATGCCTAGCCGATGCGTTGTTGATCAAATTTTTTTTTCCGGCTTTGATATATCTCAAAAATATTGGTTTACTTAACCTGAAAAAATTGATGCTTTCACTCTCTGTATGTTCGATGATTATTTTTAGTTTCGTTTAAAATCAATATATTTTTTCATTTTTTAATCCTTCGAATAAATTTTTTGTTCTTAGCAGAGGTCTTTTGTTTATAGTAGAATGTATTATTTTGATTAGTTCAATAGCTGTAGGGCAAAGAGTTCACAGAACTTCCTATAATACATCAATTTTTTTTTGGTGGTCATTAGTGATCAAGATATACGCTTTTGTTATAGTGATCTAGAAGGTCTAGTACAACTGACCTGATCGTTTATTGTGCTAAGAACTGCTTCGTACCTTTAAGTATTATTGTAAGTGTTAGCAATTAATTTGAATCCTACCTACACTCGGTTTTCCCGCGCAGTTATTGACTTTTATTCGCAGCTGATTTGAATGCTGCTTCACTAACGCTGGATATTTTACCCTGTTTGTACTGTTGTTGGGTGGTTTTCGCGTGAATATAAAAAAAATGTTTTAGATAAAAAACTAAAAGAAATTTATTTCAAAAGATGATTATTGAACATCAAGATGCACTACGTATTTGGTTGGCAAAGGAATTGGAACCGATGTAAGTGTATTTTTAATCTATTGATTCTGTTTAGATTTAAAGCTCTGATTGCACAGGTAAAAGTCCATGGCTGGTTCCTATCCTGTATTAGTCTTTCTATGTTAGAGTTTTAATTGCATTACTTTTTACAGCGTATCGTACTTTTTCTTTGCTCTCTTATTGATATTTTCCCAGGTGTGATGCTGAACCGGAAGCTTTAGCAAAGTATGTACAAGCATTGTTAAGGAAAGATAAACCAGAAAAAGAACTTTGGGAGTTTTGTGTTGAACAGCTTGACGTTTTCTTGCAGACTCGTATGTTTTAATTACCGATTGCATATCAGATAAATGACCTATTGTATGTCCAGTGAAGGAGTGTCATGCTTTGTAATTGTATTGTAGAAGCGAAGCCGTTTGTTACGAGACTTTTTGAAGTTATAAAAGAAAGATCTTATTTAATGGCACAGCCCGGAGCAAAGCCAACATCCTCAAATGATGCAGTTAATGATGCTGCAAAATCAACAGACGTTGCTGGAACATATGAGAGAAAGAAGGATAACGAGGAGCGTAAAGAAGCAAGAGAAAGGGATGATGATCGCAAAAAGTCGCAGAATGAGAAGGAAAAAGAGCAGAGAAAAGTAAACTTGCTATTAAATATATGCTGAGTGAATGCTTCACGGATTACGATATGTGAAGTTTTATAATTTTTTGTTGTTACAGGTACGAGAGGAAAAAGATGTTGAAAAGAAAGTTTCACCTCAAGAAGCTCCGACTAGCTCAACAACGCAGCCACAGCGAACTGCACGAAAAAGAATTTCACCTCCGGTTGGATCTAGAGATGAAGTTCGGCGTGATGGAACTAGCAGGTATAAACTCTAGATTTTCGGAGTTGTAGGTGTCATCTTCTCTTTATTTTACTATATTCTTAAGCAGTCAACACGCACTTGACTTTAAATTTGTTTTCTTCTAATTGATTACTTTGATTTCTTCTTTAGGTTTGAACGAAGACGAAGCCGCTCACCTCGTGAACGTCGTGCAGAGAGGGGTGATCGTATTTCTGACAGGCGGAATCAATTAATGCAAACTGCTCGGGGTTCGCACCGCCAGAGCGAACGCTATAAAGGGGAACGTAGTGAAAGGATTGAGAGGAAGCGGTCAAGATCACCATATGAACGGCTGAGGTAATTGGTGATTTTGGTAAAATATTCTTTAAGAGTATAACTTTATGCCATCTTGTTGTGTGCAGTGGTATTTTGACTTTGGTCTTCTTCGAGTTAGTTATAGTTCTGTCGATTTTTTTTTTCTTTGTATTTTTCTTGCATTATGGTCATGGGTTTTATATTTGGATACATTTTTTACTCTATTTTTTCCCATCCTGGTTGAACGAAACCTCACTTTAGGCACGACAAAAGTGTAGAGGGCGAACGACGGAAAAAGCGCTGCCGTGACTATGATGAAAAAGGTTACTGTATGAAAGGCGATCAGTGCATGTATGATCACGGACCGGATCCTTTGGTTGTTGATGACAACTCTTTTGAAAAGATGGTGGCTGGTGGGGCAAAGCCCAATACAGTAGTCCCTCAGATAACACCAAATTTCTCTATTCCACCCCCCGGATATACTCCAGTGAACCCACCACCTCCTGGCGTTGATAGTGTATATATGGCTAACTCGACTGCAGTTCCTGGTGTTATCATATCAGAAGGTATATTTAGATAGAATCATGGAGCATTTACTTGCAGATTTTCTATCACCATTGATTATTCTTGTTACCTTGTTGAATTTGGGTGTTGCATCTGTTAGTGCTTTTCATATTGAACTGGAAAGTTGTTATTCAGGATATAATCCGGAAGCGCCCGCTTTAAGTGCCTCAGCTGTCATGCCTCCGGTGCAGTCTACTGTTCCAATTGGTTCTGTTGATTTCTCCGTGCCTCCCCCAACAATTCAATATTCCACTCCGTCATGGGGTCCTACTGCATATCCAACCTCTTCAGCCAATGTTCTCGTTCAACCTTCTGCCCCTTATGATCCAATCCAGCCTTCTACTACTGTTCCTATAACAAGTACTGCTGTGGTACAGGTCAGAATCAAAGCTTTTTTTTTGAAGTTTTTACAGTTTGAGAAAGGATTGTTCATAGTTAAATAATAAAGTTTTTTCGTCTTATATGTGACAAATTCCTAGGTAGATTTGCTAACATGATTTTTTTCAAGTAAAAATTAAAGAACGTTGATGGGTAAGGAAGGAAGAAGAAATATGAAGGCGGCTTAAATGTTTCGTTTGATTTTTTCAGCCGCAGACGCAGATTCCTCGAGGAGCAGCTCAAAGTCGGCGTGGCTGGGGTGGTATTGGCGGCTATGGTGCTTCAAGTGGAGCTACAGGTGCTGGTGTAAATAATAATCGCACACTTCAGGTACGGAAAATCCCACCGGAGTTGAACAACATCACAAAGCTGAATGAACATTTTGCTCAGTTTGGACAAATAATTAATATTCAGGTGAGTGTCTTACTAATATACATTTATTCATTTAATCTTTGAATATTGGCTGGTGGTGTTTTTTGTCAATATATGTTAACCCTTGAGTTATCTGTGATTGATTTTCTAGCTTATTGTTATTCAAGGTTTCTTACGATGGTGATCTTGAAGCTGCTCTTATCACGTATGCCACTCGTCTTGAGGCGATGGCTGCTTATAAAAGTACTATCCCGATATTAAACAATCGTTTCATCAAAGTATTTTGGCATACTCCTAGCGGGCAGTCATCTCAGAATGCCAAGGCTACACAGGTTTTGAAGTCTTATGATTGATGAACTGGAAGGTTCAGTATTTTTAAGACGTGTAGACCAGCCCCTTGCTCGTCTTATTGACATTGCTGTTACCTCAAACTTTTTACTGATTTTTATCATCTTTTTTTAAAAGTATTTCAGCCTGCAAACGGTTCATCTGTAAAATTCAACTCTAAAGGGTCGCTTACAAAAACTGTGGTGGTTAGAAATCAGAAACCAAATGGGTCTAATGCTGTGCAGATCGAAAGTACTGAGAAAGCTCCTGGATCTGCTCCTCTTCAGCGTCGCCCATCACCTTCTGAGGCTGAGAAATTCGCAGAGGTTAGAAACAGTTATTTTTTAATTCTGGAGTGTTTTTGGTAAAAACATGTTTTTTGTTTTCTTATTGTTGTTTTGCATTCTTTTTTTTAGGTATGTAATTGTTCAAGTTTTTGGAAATAATAGGTAGATATTCTAGGCGCGGCGCAGACGAAAGCTTGCGAAAGAAAACAAGCTGCGTTTATTGGATCTGAGCAGAAGGAAGAGTGATATTTTGGAAAAACAAATTGAACAACAGAAAATTATAATTGAAAAGATGCTAAAAACCTCTAATGCAGAGACGAAGAAGGAATTATTGAAAGTAATTCACCATTTACGCGATTGATTGGCTCTATTTTAGTTTTTTTGCAGATCATAGTACACGAAGTTTCTTTTTAGATTTTCAAAGATCTAGATGAATCAGTAAAGACTTTGAAGAAAGAGTTGGAAGATTCGGCTAAAAAAGTTCTGGCTCTTTCGCAAGAGACTGAGGAAGCAAAACAAAACGCTAACGGCGAAAGGAGCGTTGACGCCGATGGTCTAGGTGTTGTAGCTGGCATTAAAAGAAGTAATGAATTTTGGCTTTTTTTGCTTGAAATGCGCTGTTTTTCTGTACTTCTTTGTTTAGTAATTGGTTACCTTGTTTAAGTTTTTGTACTACTTTATCTACAGGTGCGTCAGACGGTCAACATCTAGATTTGGGTGGCATCAAGAAGCCACGAAATGTTGACGCAACTCAAGTAATTAAACTTTTTTTAAAATATATTTTTGACTTCTCGCTTATCTCTCTTTTGATGTTTGACATTTTGACTCGAAAATCTTGGCGTTATTAGCATGGTTTTTAGTTTAGTGGTAAATGCCGTTGATTTATCTTGTATCTTTTTGTTTTATTGTAGTTGTTTATCCATAAGTTTTTTATTTAAAACGGTAAAGTGCTGTATAAGTACCTACATTTATTTGATTGCTTAGGTGTTTGACAAGCGGACGCGGGTTGTGGTCGTACGCTCTTTTGTAGCTGAATATGAAGAGGAAGTTATAAAACATATGGAGAGTTTTGGCGATTTAGAAGATATTGATATACCTGATAGAACTCGGGGGAAAGCGATCACAGCGTATTTCACCTATAAGAAAAGGCGCGATGCGGAGCAGGTAGACTTTGGATACGGGTTGAGTTGGCTTAGCCCGTCTGTCTGTTTACGACGGGTTATGAATTTGTTCCGTTTTCAAAGGATTTTGCAATGTTTTGCTTTGTAACTTATATCTTCTTCAACTTTATTTTAGGCTGTTGAGTTAGGGTCACATTTTCCTTTTTGCTACTTGACTGTTGAGTGGGGTCCAAAAGGTGGTTATGAGGAGGATGGCGTGATTCCGGATGAAAAAAGACATCCTGCCGAACGGGTCACTCCAGCAGCCCTTCTTGCCAGCTGTCCTTTAGATGAGGTAGAAATAGTGTGCTGTATTTATTATAAAAATTCAGGCTTCGCTCTGATGACCTTCAACACTGTAGAAATGAGGTGAGGCGCAAGTATTGTTGCATTTTCACGTAAAATTCTTTTAGTCCGATGACGATGCGAACGATGATTGATGCTGTAGCACAGTTTCCAGTCTTTTCTTCACATGATCTTTTCGCAACCTCAGTTGGGCAACAGTAGTTTTTTTTAATCATGTGCTTAATGTTTTTCCGTTGTTTATATTACAAGGTTTGTTTTTTTTCTCATTAATTGTTTCTTTGTCTCAGTGTTGTTACATTTTTGATGTCAGATGTTTATGTATGTTATTGTATCTGAAGTTACAGAAAAAGAAAAAAAAGAGAAAGTATCCGGCTCGTAAAAGAAAATAAATTATTGATGCTTAAAATAGTGTTCGACATGACTGCATAAAAAAGAGAAAATGAAAAGATCGGGCATAAAACCAAGGAGCCGGTTAGAAGAAGTATGAAGCCCGCACCATTAAAGTTTTAAAAAAAGTATATTCTGAAGCTGTGGCTTTATATTGTTGTTGACGTTTCTTTGCTGATGTGCGATTTTGGTGGTCGAGCTTAGCTCTATATTCGATGGTAGGTGAAACATTTCTAGACGTGTTGGTTTGGTGGGTTCAGTTGGAGGGTGGAGTGGAGTGGTTTCAGTGGGTACAGGAGTTTGAATTATGGAAGGAGGTTTGGGCTTTCTTTAAAATTTGTGTGGAAAAGTGCTGGAGGTTGTTGAGGTAGGGGAAGAGACGGGTGAGTTTGTTTCAGTACAGTTTTCTTTTTCCTTTTCAGGTTGCAGTTTAGACTGCTTTTTTCACATTTGTGCGGGTTTTAAGTTTTCCAATGACGTGACCACTTCGGATTTGCGGTTTAAGCGGTGAGATTTTTTTTAGTATAGTTGGTCAAGGTTTTTAAAATTGCCAAATGGATCAGTTCTTTGATGCGTTTTGGGAGGAAGTGATCAGGTGTCAGATGGAAGTCTTGAATTAAAGAAAGTTTGATTTATAGAATCAGATCTTGCTGCCGGGATGTTCAATGTGTTGTTTTCGAAACGCGGGTATGATTTTTATTTTTTGTCCTGCTGTTGACT